GTCTCTTCCAACTCTATGATTCTATGATTCTACGATTCTATGATTCTAAGTAGCTGGTCTGTAGTTATGTGTATGCTTTCATCTTACCTATCTACCTATGGCAGTCACATGAATTTCAGGGAGCAAAGAATACTGTAGTGCCTTGCCATTTCCTTTCTTGTAGTACAGAGGTGTTAAAGCAATAAATATGCTTACAACAGGACAGCATCCTCTGACTCAGAGACTCTTCTGAGGAGAATTCTTTAGTTAAATTACAGTTGTGAGAACTTGTATCTGTAATGTTCCAAAAAACAAAAAGAAAAGAAAACATTAGTAGTCATTTTCTCTGAAGAGCTAGTGTAGCTCAGTGATTCATCTTGGGCTTTGATCCTGTGCAGCCCGTGGATTCACTCTTGATTTTAAAACTATTCTTTCCTTGGTTGCTCCACATTGTAGAGGAGCTTTCCTGACATTGGAGATTCTCCCTTCAGAGGTTTGGCACTGGAAGAGCTCTCATTCATCTTGGAGCAGTTGCTTTGATAGAGTGGTGGTAAAATCAAGAGTGTATCATTAACTATGGATCCATCAACTACCATTAAACTTCAGCCATTAAAAATGTGAATCTAGAAAGAAAGACATCTATACATAATATTATTTTGTTGTTGTTTGGTAACTCACTATAAGTAAAAGTTTGTGTAATTTAGAAGCATTTCATTAATTACTCCCAAGCATGGGAACAAGCTTCCTGCTTTGACAGCCAGAAGGAGACAGCAACTTTTGTTCCTTTGGTGTTTGATACAGGCTAGGGATCCTTCTTAGAGCCCCCACTTATCTGACAGGTTAGGGACTGGAGGATTGACAGAAAGTGGAATTGGTTGAAAAGTGGAACTCCAGGGTTGTTGTTTTTTAGCTTGCAGATGCATTTTGGAAATGTAAATAACACATTGCATATGATTTTTGAATGCATACAAAAGTTTTTGTTTTTTAATGAATATTTCTGCCTCATATTTCCTGTCAGTCACAGATCATCTTATAAGATTGTGAAAACATGTTTCAAAATCATTTAAAGTTAACTCCACATACCTGTAATTAAAAAAAATGGCCTATGCCCTGGTTAAATAGAAAAAGATTCGCTTGAATACTTGCATTTTGTTATACATCCTGGGGGGGGGGGGAAGCTAGAAGCAAAGACTCCTGTTGTGGTATATCATTCTGGGCCACTTACCTCCTGGTCTCTGACATCAGTGGCACAGTGCATTTCTTTATATGTCCATTGAAGATTTGGTCAACATGCAGCACATTCTACTTACTGTTATCTATAACACACGCATAAGCAGACAGAAGAGTAAGGTTGACCTCTGTGCTGTTGTGTGCTTCCTTCCATTTTTACTCTCTCTACCAAGGATGGGAAGGCTCTGTCCTGTAGGCTGGATGGGTAGCTCTGGGGGCTACCCATGGCACCCATAAATTTCTACTCTTATATCTCTAGTAAGTAATAAGAATTTTGCTGCAGTATGCAGTCTGTGTAGCTCTCTCTTAAACTGTCTTGGAAAATGTTGCAGAATAATGAATATTACAATATCTTGGCAATTGCAAAAATCATAAACCTTGCATGTCCAGTCTGCTTTGACAGGAGGATCAAATGGGAACTATTTAAAATGAAATTACTCTCTAATAATGTAACAGAAAAATTGCAGAAATTATGTAAGATCTCTTTTTTGTATGACTGTGTCATCTCCTGCAGGATATCACCTTCAGAAAATCAGGCTTCAGTAGTTAAAACTCAGAAAACCTATATTTAAGAAAGTATAGATCCAGTCCAGTGATGTTCATTGCATTAACAAACATTAAATTGTCTAATTATGCTACTCATAATTTCAAAATTCAGTTAGGTTTAATTCTTATTTGTTATAATTAATAAACAGACTTCTTTCTCCTACCACCCTTTTTTGTTGTTACAACCAGATTTTTTCACAGATATGATCTTGAACAGGCCTGGCTCATGGCCTCCCTTCCAGCATTATCTCAGTGCCTGTGTCTGAGATCACCGTGACTAAATAATACACTTTCTACTGGGGATGCAGTGGCTTAGTGGTTAAGACGCCAATTCTGATTATTGGAAGATTGGCAGGTTGGCAGTTTAAGGCCCGGGTGCTGCATGATGGGCTGAGCTCCTGTCAAGTCACAACTTCTGCCAACTTAGTTCGAAAGCAAGCAAATGCAAGTAGATAAATAGGTACCACTTTGGTGGAAAGGTAGCAGCGTTTGGTACAGTCATGCTGGCCACATGACCACTGGAGCAGTCCTCGGACAACACTGGCTCTTTGGCTTAGAAACGGAGATGAGCACCACCCCCTACAGTGGGTTACAACTAGACATTCATGCCAAGGGACTACCTTTACTGTTTACTATATAACTCATTAAACCTATTTGGCAGGCAAGTCATTTATGCAACTCCTGACATTCAACTCTTCCAAAATCAATTCCCACCCTTTAAAACAAAGCTAGTAAACAATGCAAAATAGATAACAATGCAAAAAACATGGATCTGCATTTAAAAAATCAAGCAAACACAGGAAAACAGTAACCAACTTCTTGCCAACCTAACCAGGTCTAGGCTATTAATGGTATTTTCCATAAACCTTTTCAGCAGATCAGGTGCCTTTACATCATGGCCATAGACCCATTTACTCTGAGAAACGGGAAGATGTTTCCATTGAGTAGAATATTTCAGTTTGCCTTTGTGTAGTCTAGAATCTAAAACTTTTTTCACTTCACAATGCTGTTCACCATCTACAAGAACAAGAGGAGAGACTTTGGTTGGGCCATGCCACATGCTGTTCTGAGCTGTAGCTTTGAGCAGGCTAAAGTGAAAAACAGTGTACATTTTTATAGCTTTTTGATAAGTCTAGTTAAGCAGCCACAGTGTTCACCAACCACTGTATCACAAAAGGATATATACATTTCAGTGCAAGCTTCTTCAATGGTTGCAGGCTTTTAGGTATCTTGGGCTATATCACATGTGGCTTTTAAACTGCAATTTCCCTGGGAAGGAAATGGCATCAGCGATGCTGATAGCACAATGATATTTCCCTCCCATAGCTGCCCCGTCCCCCAGCAGTCCCTTTTCATTCACGAGGGAAAACCGTGAATGTGCTGCTAGTCATGCAAAAAGCCATTCTCTGGGCATTTGCATTATTGGCAGTCACATTGTATCAATGTCCCCTCCTTCCCTCTTCCCCCCTCACTATTTTTTATTTTTCCCCTCAGGTTTTCATGCAATTCCAAAGCTCTGTGGCCTCTGAAATTTTCTTTACAAAATGTAAAACATTAAATTGGGGCTGCAGAGCTCTGGAATTGTATGAGAAAAGTTGAAAAAAATATTTTAAAAATACTAAAGGCAAGCTAGGGAGGGTGAAGTTAAGGGAACTTCACTTGCCTTGAAGACAATTTCATTGTCCAAAAGGTGGAAGAGGCAACAAGGAAGTCAGCTATTTTGGATCTGATCCTAACTAACAGGGATTACCTAGTTAATGGGGTGTAAGTGGTTGGATCCTTAGGTGGGAGTGATCATGTTCTCTTGGAATTTATTATACAGTGGAAACGAGAAGCCAGGCATAGTCAGACACTCATTCTAGACTTTAGGAGAGCTGATTTCAACAAACTTAGAGAAACACTGAGAGTGATCCCATGGCCAGGAATACTAAAGGAGAAGGGAGTTCAGGATGGATGGGAGCTTCTCAAAAGGGAGATACTGAAGGCACAATTTCATACAGTTCCAATGAGGAAGAAAAATGGGAGGTGCCTCAAGAAACCAGGATGGACGACTAAGGAACTTTCAACTGAACTAAGTTTTAAATGGAGCATGTATAAGAAATGGGAAAATGGAGAAATCACCACAGAGGAATTCAAACAAATAGCTAGCACGTGTAGGGCTAAAGTCAGAAAAGCTAAAGCGCAGAATGAACTTGGGCTTGCTAGAAAGGTTAAGAAAAATAAAAAGGGCTTTTTGGGTATGTCCGCAGCAAAAGGAAGAAGAAGGAAATGGTAGGGCCACTGTGTGGAGAAGATGGCAAAAAGTTAACAGGGGACAGAGAAAAGGCAGAATTACTCAACACCTTCTTTGCTTCAGTCTTCTCAGAAAAGGCAAAGGGTGCTCAACCTGAGCATAATGGAACAGAGGACAGAATAGGAGAATTTCAGCATAGAATAAGTAAAGAGATAGTACAGGAATACCTGGTTAATCTACATTAATATAAGTCTCCAGGATCAGATGAATTACATCCAAGTGTACTAAAAGAACTGGCAAAGTAATATCGGAACCATTGGCAATAATCT